AATGGACGACAAAAAGGCAGTTACACTCCGCAATTCATATGCGACCCCTACTTCTATTATTATCACCCGCCGTAATAAGACAAATAATTAAAAATTGAAATTATTAAGTCACGAGAGTGCTATGGTCAAGGCATAGTTGAAAGTACTGCCTCGTATTGAGTGAATACGGTCAGCTAACTGAGGGACGAGTCCTTTGAACTTAGTGAAAGACGGGCACCTTATGTGATTGAACTATCAATACACCTAAACTTTACGCTATCTACCGTCAAATACAAATATATAACTCAAATGGTGTTGTCTGAGATATAATTAGCAGTGGCACCACAAGAAACACCGGAAATATTCTGACCCTCAAAGTTTCTTTTAGCATTAGAGAGAGCCTGGAAAAAGTAAACAAGGTGCTCACCCCGCTCATAACCACCCGCAGCGACCCCCGTTCTTGCATTACGGACGGGTTCTTGTGGGATACGGGTAGAACCGAGAGAAGCTGGTACTACGAGGCATCGGCGTGATTAAATTTAAAGACCATCCTCTGTAATGTCGATGGTATCTGAGCTATTTCTCAATACGCCGAAAATAGACTTCATGTCTGTTCTGAAAGTTTCAATGGTTGTGTCTGGATCGCCCTGAATAATCTAAAGTGCGATGCGGTTGTAAAATAGCAATGAAGCGGGGGGGGTCGGTCCGCAAGACTATCTTCAACAGCAGCAACAAAATCAGAAGAATGCTCGATTGTATCAGTAGTAAAAGAATCATCAGTAATCGTATAAGCACTGCCGGTAAAATCCATAAGCACAACGGCGGTATCAAGGTGCAATTCAATCACAGCCTCTAGCATATAGGGAAGGGGAAGAATGAGGGTATTCGTTATACTTCTGGAAATGCTGGGTTTCCACATGTATTGTATCCATAATTACGCATTAGTCGCGAGCCCAGTACTTTTAGTCACGTCCGTGACGGCCTGGCCCGTCACCCGACCGTATAGTCATAAACAAGGTCCGAGGAGCTTGTTGTGCGACAAAATAGGGTTTCAATTACACTGACATCCTAAATATCTTCAAGAACGGTACCAACGAAGGTAACCCCCATTCGGTTGAAAGGAACGGAACGGAACAATTATGCGACGCGGACAGACCAGCTATATTGTCCCTGCAATTTGAAAAAAAAAAAGACAAAAAACTGTCATTCGTATCAGTCCATTCAGCGTGGATGCGGAACTGAATTTTTCGGTTACTATCGGGTTCACAAGACCCATACAATTTATTCAGAAGTGAGGAAAACGAGAAGGAAAGTAATAAATAATTCATTAAATAAAAAGCCATTTCGAGGTTTTACAGCGAGAGTTGTATAATCTTACTCGGAGTTGTATCCTCAGCACTTCCCTTATTTGATATGAATTCTGATTTTTCGAAATCATTAAAAAGAATCATTTTCTTGCTTTCTGCCAGACTGATTCCGGCTGCTCCTACGGGTCTGATAGCTTCGAAAATAGGTTAGGTGTCGGTAAAAAAAGGTTAATAAGAATGTTAGTTTCATGTACTTTGGGCTAAGGCAAGACTTACAGGCAACATTCCACACAAAAGCGACGATGGAGGGGATGATGCCGTATCAGTTATCAGCAGATTTAAAAACAATCGGGATTAATCCAAATTGTGGAAAATGATTAACTTACGGAACGAGTTCTTCAACGGTGGAGTTAAAGATGAGAATGTTTTCCTTGTTCACCCAGGGGTCAATACGGGGTCAAAATCAATATAAAAAATGGTGTCATTCCGGTGGTCATATCAGCGGACATCCTGGGGGTCAAGACGAGGGTCGTTGTGGTGGTAAAGACTAGGGTCAACCCCCAGGTCAAATCCGTACCCCGCTGGATTTTCCCCAATAGCATCATAGTACTCCTGGGACGACTGGGCGGAAGTCTCCGAAATCAAATCATCGGTTTGCGAAGAAGGTGTGGAAGATTGACCGGAAGAAGGCCCAGAATAGGAATTTAAATCCGTATCCAACTTTGAGGGTCTGGTCAAGCCATCGGAAGGGGACTCATAATCGGGGTCTTCATTCTTCGTTTGGTTGGAATGAACATGCAATAAAAATTGGACACTAGTGATATTAAATTTCAAAATTTCATCGGAAACGGCTTCGACTTTCTTGCCGGTCGCGCAGTTCTTCATCCTGCCAGAAAGGTATTTAAGATGTTTATTGGTAGCAGTACGAGGCTATTGGTAGCATTCTCTCTAACGTGGACTGGAATTGCATTGATAGAGACAACAAATTCTTCAATGATGCCGTCTATGGAAATCCCGGACGCAATGAATAGGGCCTCTATTGACGACGTGGTGAGTTGAACTTCATCCTCTAATAGCAAGACCTTTAAAACATCCCGCTTTTGAAGGCTTTTTCATAGGGCTATTCTCATGGCGAGATGCGACCATATCGGAAAAAGCCATCACGTTGCGACCTCTCAAGGCCATCCAGGCAATGCGAACGTTGAATAATAGTGATAGTTATTTATTCGCCACCAACTTTGGAGAAGTGTCAATTTTCTTCTTTCCTCCGCAGCCCATCCTTCCAAACTTTTAAATTAGGGAATCTGCATTAGTCTTAACTATACATTTAGTTTTTTCAGATTTAGTTATATATTTTTATAATCTTTAGATTATTGTTAATTTTAGTATTTAGAAATTGTTATTTAACTAAAAAATCGCGTATGAACCGGGACAAAATGACCAAAATCTTGGGGCAGTGACTTTTTTTATCAATTGCGCTATTTGATCCAACCCCATTTTATCATGCTCAACGGAATAAGCCGGAAAATGTGACCGATTCGTTCGTTTGAACCAACCCCGTAGCAACAATATTTCGCAAGTTAGCTGTACTGTGAAGTTCTCACATACATAACACAGAAAACATGATAACAGCACATTTGATGGTGCTATTAGACTGTTCTTAGGCTTGAGAAATCTTTTAAACACATCAATAAAGACGTACAATGAAGTATAGACCTGTACACCTCGGATTATGGACGACGTTGACGAAATCAGCCATTTAATGGTCAGTAGATTGTTATAGGATCAGATTCAGATGTTCGATCTCTTACAGTTTTGCTCTTATAAGTGACTTCTTAGACTTAGTTTTGCAGTACGAAAGTTTTGCCTTGATCCTACCATCCTTTGGAAAGTCTTCAGGAAGACTATTATCCCCTCGTACGTGTAATACCTTCAATGCAGGTATCAATTTATGTCATTTGATCTCAGTATCAGCTTCTACCATACCCATTATATCTTGTTGATATATCTTGGGGAACCTCTCTGTCTTCGTACGTGCTCTTTTGCCAGCAGGCGGCACATATACTTCGCTTCTATCCGTAGCTTCAGCCTCGGCTAATCTCTGCTGCTTTTCCATTTCGACTTCTTTTTTGCGCCTACTTTCAAGACTCTTCCTCGCTTGTGTCATCGTTGATATTTTTGTTCGTATATCCATTTCTCCTGGAAGCGAATACCGCCCAGGATACATCAGCTTGAGCTGGGCAAGCATTGATCCAGGTTGCATCTTTAAAGAATAATCACTTTCGCCCATTTCAAACATATCCTTAATATCTTGGGTTGATAAATGATGTACCGTATTGTTTACCAAACGGTCTTCGTCTTGCCCATCCCCTCTTGCTAAAACCCGTACTGCTACGGTATGTGAAGCGATTAGTGCATTTGTAGATCTGATAGCTGTGGCAAGCATATCAGCTCGATTCTTGATCCCCTTATACTCTCCAACACGGCGCTTGTCTCTACCTCTATCTTGTGATCCAAGAATAGTGATTTAGACAGCTCAACAACGTGCACATATGACCAGCGTTTCGATCCTGTGTCTGGATCACCAGGGCCATAACCTACGAGCTCTTCCACTGCAATACCTGCATTGAAATCCAAGTCGTCCAAAGGATAGACTTCCATTTCAGCGATGTTGTCGGCCTCAAGCTCTAGTTCCAAGTCGATCTCATTGTCATAATGTTCTCCGGTACTTGGTCCTATTTCTAATAAATAATCTTGTCCAGCTTCTTGCGTACTAGTCTGCTCCCTACTATCTTCTTGGCCATCGTCATCTGTGTCAATACCAGGAATTGTATCTTCATCTTCATACTCGCCACCATCAGCCATACTATTATTCTTTGCAGCATAACTATTTTCCTCCCCAGTTGCATTAGCACTTCCATTACCGTTTGACTGAGCACTAACCTGCAGACCTTCAACTTCACTCACAGTGTCAAAGGTATCATCATTCTTAAACAAAACCCTAAACCCTAAAACAATGATCCACGACCAATTCCTGAATATGCATGGGCACGCAGATGTAGCACAGTATCGCTTTGTAGTAGTTTCTCTAAGTCTCTCCTGTCATCGCCTTCAAGTGGACAACTGATACTCTCAAATATAACATTATTTTCTCGACTAAACTAAAGTACTGGGCTGCAGCTTCTACCATTTTCTTAGTCTGGTCCATGAACAGTTTAGTTTTCCCGCTCTATCGACTGCTATAAGATGCACAAACGAATTCGGAATCCCCCCCTTCCACGCAAGAGCAGCAGCCAAGCCTTTTGGTGTCGCTATCTTCGTGATTCGGTTTCGGTTTGATGATTTCATAAAGTTATTGACATGCCCGCCGCCGCCTCTGGCAAAGTGGGCATCGATAAGCCCTTTTCCGTCCTGAGTTTCTGTGTGAATATATCTAATAATCTGTATCGGCCAAGTTAAATTCAACAAGGCAAGAAATATGAGTAAATCCTTTGATCTGTAACAGCCTGCATTATCGGAAGCAAGAACTGTTGTCGTCATCTGCGGCAATCGGTCATGCACTGCATATAAATATGCCTCAATCATCAAATAAACACATGAGCTATCCTGTCGATTCTCTCCTTCAAGTATCTGATCGCCATAGATGATATGGCGAACAGCTGCAGTCTTATTCACTGCATCTCCATTTTCATTAATTCTCACCCACTCCATGTACTCAAAGTACATTGACATGCATCCATGCTATCTCATTCCTCGTTGTCCGTAGTGTTCATGAGTCGTTTCCCTCGAGGAGACGGGATCAAACTTCATCTTCCAATCAATTAAAGTAAAGAACTCTGTACTACCTTTGTTCTTGAGGCAACGTTCTTGCATATCTTTGAGTATGTGATCATAATGATACTGCTGATTTTTTACACGAGTACGATGTCCAGCATAAATCTCCAACTTATCTCGACAAACTTCGAGTACATGCAATGCATCTTCCCGAACATCTGTACCTCCATACTCGCTTTTAGATACTGTATTCTTAATCTCTGCCACAACCCATTGCACAAAGTTACACAAATTGCATTCATTTGGTTTAATTGAAGCATGGAATCTATAACATCAGTCACCAGACATCCAGTCACATAGTCTACGGCGTCTATGGGCTTTTCATCATTTTTTGTTATTGCTAACAGTATCTTCATAAAACTTGTTTTCCCTATTTGGTCTTGTTCAGGAACTGATACAGTGTAGTCTTTGTGCACCACCTGCGCAGGCTTCCGTCTAGTTAGAGCTGGCAGTACAATTACTTCATCTGGCCCTATCTTCATAGTCTTCGTCCCCCAGGATAAAACATACATTTTCGTCAGAAAATATGAATTTTGTAGCGGTTTCGAGGTCGGATACATTGAACCTAGCTCTACTGTGCTTAGTGACTCCTATACTAATACCGCTAGTCATAACTCTGTAATCGTCATATCCTATAAAGTCAACTCGTCGTTCTGCTTCAATGTATCTAATTCTTTAGTAGATAAGTCTTTGACCAATATCGCTCGCGCGATGCGCTTTTATAGTGAGTTTTTGGGTGTGTTGTTTTATATTTCTATTGTGGCATGCAGGATTTTGGAGTCCTTGTTGACTGTGAGATTCGTGTTTGAGGATTCACCAGGGATCTTAGCAGCTTCTGACAAAAGTAAACCGGGATCGGCTGGATAAACAATCGAGGCCAAATGATTAAATGCTTTCGACATAAACTGACTCATGCAGCTCCATCCTGTTGCATGCTTCGCGGCCAATTCCGTATTATTCGTACGCAATTCGGCACTAGGCTAAGCTTTCCTTGAATTCTGACTCCACCCAAAAGCACGCGCTACGTCGGCACGCCCGTTCTCATCTGTACTTATCGTCACGTTGGTACCACTTTCCATGCGAGTATATATACTACTTTGATTGCTAATAGACGTACTCGGAGTCTCACTTGTGCGTAGACTCTCTGCGATGTCCACTCGGGCTCTTTTGGCTGACGCATGCTTTGATCCCTCTCGCTCTACCTCACCTATAATCCTCTTTCCCTGCGGTCGCCCAGGTCTAAATCCTCCAGTTGAACCTCCATTGCATTCACATTTGCAACGCTTGCAAGCACTATATCACATTTTACACAACGTCCACGTCTATGATTACACGCACACATTTTGCAAGTCACTTGCGGAGCGCAGCCACACCCCGCCATAGCCCCTTCTCGTGCAAAATTAACTAATTTACCTAATTCAATTGAATGTTCATCGAATAGTCATTATACCATTCCCAGACATGGATAGACGTTAGAACTATACTACGCTACTATACGCTTCTAGGGTGGGTTTAGGTGCTTTATAATAAGTATATACGGTCTCTGGGACCCTTCTACACACATATAACAACTCACAACCTTGGGTCTACAACTACCCGAAATAGCTCTGCCGTGCTTTACTTGTGTACCTGTAACTCCTGAACTACTGGTCGTACGAGGTTACTTCAAAAACATGAATTGCTCAGTAGTATTTGCTTATTCCGTGCCCGTTGAGAAAATAAGGATTGGTAATTGATTGAATTGCGATTGCCCCAAGATTATGTCCCGGTTCATACGCGATTTTTAGTTAAAAGAAATAGTTTGTTATTTTTAGAATAAATAAATAATATTAAAGACAGACAAAAACAGAAAAAAATATTATTTCTTACAGCAGCCCGGGCTCAAATCAGCTGGTGATTTGAATTCTACGGGTAGGCTCCGTTCCTACCTCTTTGTAAATGACACCCGCATCCTGATTCCGCAGTCTGTTCGACTGTAACCCTTCCTGAACGCGATTGATTTGGGGACGCCAATCCGGTCTAGCACAAGAGATTCTCAAGCCCCGAAAGATATCGTCAATGCTGAATAAAAGTACCATCTCTCCGTATCAAATGACATCTCATCACACCAACGCGTTTAGGCCTCCCAAATGCGAACACTCCCAACAGACATATATTTATACCTCCCCTGCTCATGGCGGCGCAACTCTCTGACACCTATCCACAGGCTTCCAAATACTTGAGATTTCAACTGTCTCAGCGCATACTGAGCATCGACTTTGTAAAGCACATAGACAACCTCGTGGCAAAATTACTCCAGGCTATAGTATCCTTCCAGGCGTATGGGTTTCATGGATTCAGCTGACGCCATCCGCAAAATTGGATTGAATATCATATCATAAACCTCCTACGTGCCATGAACGATTCTTTTTGTGAGTGGCTATACTTCTGCGAACAACTGTGTTTTATGGTTTAGGTGTCTTTTTCTTTTTCCTTATCCCAGTAGACGAGGGCCTTATAGATGTTGTTGAATGGGCAGGTAGTATATTTTATTGACATAATCCAATTCATGTATCTGGCACCGTACGAAAAATATAGATCACGGACAGATTTGTCCTCTTGGGCTTCTTTAAAAATTCAACGCGCATTCTTCCATTCGAAACCATCAGCTTCTAGTCTCTTACTAATCCTCGAGCATTGACAAAAGTTATCTAATGATGAGAACCCCGTTGCAATATCGCTTTGAACTATTATTCTTTCTTATCAGGGTATTGTTTCTGGGTATGTTACACGAGTCTCTCGAATGCCGATTACACGCTTCCAGTATTCTGATTATGGTCTTCCATAACAATATCCAAGTATCCAGTCATCAGTAGCCCCCTCCTGAAGTATTTTGGTATGTTATTGCAGCACCTAATAAGCTTTCTTACTGAATATTTTACCCATGTTCTCTAAATATCATTTTGATAGCAATGTTAGTTAATGATCCATGAATCTGTGTAGTGTGTCTGTGTCCAAATTGTTCGTTGATTTTCTCAAGATGTGTTGTGAACCAACAACCGCCTCTAATCAAATGTTGTTGATGCCGGAAAATCTCCAATCTTATAATCCGAAGAACATCGAGTATCGAATACAAGTCTGTAAACTTCATCTGCTGCCTATGGATATTAAGATCTCCATCTGAGACTATGCCATCAGTGAACCCACGTAGAAGTTCGCGCTCACCATCATTTTTATAACCATATCAAACTCTGCCGTCGAAACATCTGCTGGCCCAATCCTTCTGACAATTTGTGCCGTTTGTTGATCCAATGCGATTCAATTGTGTTCGTCTTCGCAAGTGTATCGCGGACATGTACATATATCAATATTTTAGATACGGTTGTAAGTAGTTGTTGCTAATTCGATACATCTGTAAGCGTGTTGTGTGGACGTATTTTTACATCACCCCATACTACGCACTAAAAAGTAAAAGTAATCGCCATAATATTTTGCGCTATCATAACTACAATGCTTAGTGAAGACGCGTTCCAGAAAACTCTATAAATCTTTTGCACATTTCTTAAATGCTCTATATTTCTTGCACAATGCAACCAATAAGTCTCTGTTCTGAACTGTGTATATATATGAACTATGATAGGTCTACCTGCTGCTTTGAATTCTTAGTCACGAATTCAAGCATATTATGGAAATATAATCGGCCAATTTGTCTGTATGCACCGTCCACTTGAAGCGTCCACTTGAAGAATTGTTTCATCACACATAAGCTCAGTGAATGAACTATGTGTTGGCGCTGAATCGGCTATAGATCCAGGCATAACAAAGTTTAGTACTCTTTGTACTAGATTTCTTCCGCGTGTTGCCAGGCCAGCACGAGACGTATCAGACCTAAAGTGCGCGCAGTATGCCTCTTAAACTGTGACTTTACTATATTTCCTGATCATGTAAGGTATTTCCTTGAGTCGAGCCTTGAGTAGTCGCAGATTGCGCAGATCACCGGCCACAATTCCGATGGTCAGCCCATATGTATGTAGCCTGTTAAGTGCGTACAG